AATTATTATTATTATTACATAACACTGGGCAAAAACCACTTGAATCAATGTTGTTTCCACATCATTGAATTCACGTTAGTTGACAACTCAACCAAATGTAAATCAAAACTGGATGTTGAACTGACGTCTGTGCCCAGTGGGATGGACCCTCGTCGAAAGTAGTGCACTGTAGGGAATAGGGTGCCATTTGGGACTCTATAGTGCCCCTCTCACTACCCCCTCATTGCATCAAACACAACACCAGGGTCACAAGGCCCCAGACAGTGAGGAATGGCATCCGCTTACTGGACTCTCAGGACAGTCACAGTCCTTGGCCCCAGGGGGATTTGCCTTGTTGCTAGGCTTTTGGACTCCTCTGCTCTCTGATGGTACATGGGGTTTGGGTCACATTCATCATTCCGAATGGGTATGGACATTGGGAAATGGCAGTGGTGTAAAGAACTTAAGTAAAATTACTTTAAAGTACTACTTAAGCAGTTATTTGGAGTATCTGTACATTATTTATATTTTTGCCAACTTTTACTTCACTAAATTTAATAAAGAAAATAATGTACTTTCTACTCCATACATTTTCCCTGACACCCAAAAGTACTTGTTACATTTTGACAGGAAAATGATCCAATTCACACACTTATAGTGCATTCGGAAAGTATTCAGACCCCTTGACTTTTTTGTTACGTTACATCCTTATAAAGTGGATTCAATCGTTTTTTCCCCTCAATCTACAGTCGTGGTCAAACGTTTTGAGAATGACACAAGTATTGGTCTTCACAAAGTTCACTGCTTCAGTGTTATGAGATATTTTTGTCAAGCATTCCATAAGTGTCAAATACTTTTATTGACAATTACATTAAGTTTATGCAAAGAGTTGGTCGTCACCAAACTGTTTTGGATGGTTGGGAGAAGTTGCTCTCGGAGGATGTGTTGGTACCATTCTTTATTCATGGCTGTGTTCTTAGGCAAAATTGTGAGTGAGCCCACTCCCTTGGCTGAGAAGCAACTCCACACATGAATGGTCTCAGGATGCTTTACTGTTGGCATGACACAGGACTGATGGTAGCGCTCACCTTGTCTTCTCCGGACAAGGTGTTTTCCGGATGCCCCAAACAATCGGAAAGGGGATTCATCAGAGAAAATGACTTTACCCCACAGTCCTCAGCAGTCCAATCCCTGTACCTTTTGCAGAATATCAGTCTGTCCCTGATGTTTTTCCTGGAGAGAAGTGGCTTCTTTGCTGCCCTTCTTGACACCAGGTCATCCTCCAAAAGACTTCACCTCACTGTGCTTGCAGATGCACTCACACCTGCCTGCTGCCATTCCTGAGCAAGCTCTGCACTGATGGTGCCCCGATCCCGCAGCTGAATCAACTTTAGGAGACAGTCCTGGCGCTTGCTGGACTTGCTTGGGCACCCTGACGCCTTCTTCACAACAATTGAACCTCTCTCCTTGAAGTTCTTGATGATCCGATAAATGGTTGATTTAGGTGCAATCTTACTAGCAGCAATATCCTTGCCTGTGAAGCCCTTTTTGTGCAAAGCAATGATGACGGCACGTGTTTCCTTGCAGGTAACCATGGTTAACAGAGGAAGCACCACCCTCCTTTTAAAGCTTCCAGTCTGTTATTCTAACTCAATCATCATGACAGAGTGATCTCCAGTCCTCGTCAACACTCTCACCTGTGTTAACGAGAGAATCACTGACATGATGGCAGCTGGTCCTTTTGTGGCAGGGCTGAAATGCAGTGGAAATATTTTTTTAGGGATTAAGTTCATTTTCATGATAAAGAGGGACTTTCTTCTGATCACTCTTCATTACATTCTTGAGTATATGCAAATTGCCATCATCAAAACTGAGGCAGCAGACTGTGAAAATTAGTATTTGTGTCATTCTCAAAACTTTTGACCACGACTGTACACACAAACAGGTTTAGAAATGTTTGCAGATTTATTAAAAATAGAAAACAGAAATATTACATTTACATAAGAATTCAGACCCTTTACTCAGAACTTTGTTAAAGCACCTTTGGCAGAGATTACAGCCTCGAGTCTTCTTGGGTATGACGCTACAAGCTTGGCACCTGTATTTGGCGAGTTTCTCCCATTCTTCTCTGCAGATCCTCTCAAGCTCTGTCAGGTTGGATGGGGAGCGTCGCTGCACAGCTATTTTCAGGTCTCTCCAGAGATATTTGATCTTGTGCAACTCAAGGACATTCAGAGACTTGTCCCAAAGCCACTCCTGCGTTGTCTTGGCTGTGTGCTTAGGATCGTTGTCCTGTTGGAAGGTGAACATCCACCCCAGTCTGAGGTCCTGAGTGTGCTGGAGCAGGTTTTCATCAAGGATCTCTGTACTTTGCTCCGTTCATCTTTCCCCTCGATCCTGACTAGTCTCCCAGTCGCTGCCGCTGAAAAACATCCCCACAGCATGATACTGCCACCCCCATGCTTCACCGTAGGGATAGTGCCAGGTTTCCTCCAGACGTGACGCTTGGCATTCAGGCCAAAGAGTTCAATCTTGGTTTTATCAGACCAGAGAATCTTGTTTCTCAGGGTCAGAGTCCTTTAGGTGCCTTTTGGCAAACTCCAAGAGGGCTGTCATGTGCCTTTTACTAAGGAGTGGCTTGCATCTGGCCACTCTACCATAAAGGCCTGATTGGTAGAGTGCTGCAGAGATGGTTGTCCTTCTGGAAGGTTCTCCCATCTCCACAGAGGAACTCTGGAGCTCTGTCAGAGTGATCATCGGGTTCTTGGTCACCTCCCTGACCAAGGCCCTTCTCCCCCGATTGCTCAGTTTAGCCGTGCGGCCAGCTCAAGGAAGAGTCTTGGTGGTTCCAAACTTCTTCCATTTAAGAATGATGGAGGCCACTGTGTTCTTGAGGACCTTCAATGCTGCAGAAATGTTTTGGTACCCTTCCCCAGATCTGTCCCTCGACACAATCCTGTCTTGGAGCTCTACGGACAATTCCTTCGACCTCATGGCTTGGTTTTTACATAGACAGGTGTGTGCCTTTCCAAATCATGTCCAATCAATATAATTTACCACAGGTGGACTCCAATCAAGTTGAAGAAACATCTCAAGGATGATCAATGGAAACAGGGTGCACCGGAGCTCAGTTTCAAGTCTCATAGCAAAGAGTCTGAGTACTTATGTAAATAAGGTTTTTCTGTTTTCGCTTTGTCATTATGAGGTATTGTGTTTAGATTGATGAGGAAATTGTTTTACTTAATCCATAAGGCTGTAACGTACCAAAATGTGGAAAAAGTAAAGGGGTCTGAATACTTTCCGAATGCACTGTATCAAGAGAACATCCCTGGTCATCCATACTGCCTCTGATCTGGCGGACTCACTAAACACAAATGCTTTGTTTGTAAATTATGTCTGAATGTTGGTGTGTGCCCCTGGCTATCCGTCAATAAAAATTAAATACAAAATTGTGCCCCCTGGTTTGCTTAATATAAGGAATTTGAAATGGTTTATACTTTTACTTTTGATACTTAAGTACATTTGAGCAATTCCATTTACTTTTGATACATAAGTATATTTAAAACCAAATACTTTTAGACTTTTACTCAAGTAGTATTTTACTAGGTGACTTTCACTTTTAATTGAGTCATTTTTTATTAAGGTATCTTTACTTTTACTTAAGTATGACAATTGAGTACTTTTCCACCACTGGGAAACGAAAGTGGGATTCACTGCAGACCGCTCAGGTAAACTGACTGAGAGAGCACAAATGAACAAAACCTTAGTGATCATGATGGTGAATATATTTGTTCTTTTTTCTATGACAGGCCTTCCTGACTGAAGGGAAGAGAGCCCCCAAAACAGGCCTACTTTAACCCTACTTATAACAGTTCATGATTATAGCAATAAAATACTGTAGGAGTTTTGGAAATATGTAAGCAACCTTCAAATAAATTGTTACCGTGTTAACGTGTTATTAAAAACGTAAATACATAAAAAGTGTGAGGAGCTGAAGGACAATTGATTCACAACAAATTTTTCCAGCTATTTATTTTCAGTACTCCGCATTAGGGGGTTATAATATGGACAAGTTTTGTTAAGAAATTAATAATCAAAACAGTTTATGAAAGTGTATAGTAAGCATTACATATATACTTGAAACAAAAAGTAAAAACTTGAAATGAATACTTGTTCAAAGCAATTCTTTCTAAACTAGCTGTAATGAAGGTTGAAGTGTCCAGAATCTAAAATATACAGTTGTCCTGTGGTCTAGTTTTATCACATTACTCCTAAATTACTTCACTGTCACTTTATTTCACTTGCTAGCAGTGCTCCCAGTAAAATATGTTCACACAGAGATTTGAATAGTTGAATATAACACAATTGTATAAGGAAATACTAGCTAATGAATGAATACAGAAACAAGAAACACACAAGTTAGAAAACAATTAGAACCTCACAAGAGAGCAATACACCCTCAGGATAGAACTCATTTACAGAAATGTGATTCACAGTTAAACTCAATCTTTACGATGTCAAATGTCAAAGTACATCTCAACTCTTTAATCCAACATATTGCTCATATGTTTAAAATCCTTTAGTAACTCTTCAATATCTTTTATACTGTATGACACAACAAAAGCCGCAAGCAAAGGCTTCATTGAAGATTAACAGATGGGATGTAATGATGTGTAGCAGTCAAAAAGGAACAATCCCCAAAGGTTTTTTACCAGTAATCCTGGTGTACCATTGCAGGCGGAAGGGTTGTTGTCCCCTAGCAAAGGCCATCGAGTGAATGTAGCAAGCACAGCTAACTGATTGGGTGGGATGAATGCTGATGGGTGAAGATTTTGCAACCAGTGTAGACATCGTCCATGTCAAGTCCACTTTCTCCCCTTGTCTGGGGTTGCATGCAGGGCCTTGCATGTCTAGACCACATAACCTGCTCTATGAAAATCACGCTCTATAACAAGAGGGAGATGGTGGTGAATGAGAAGGAGGGTGAAGAAGAGTTTTGGCACCTCCAGAACCTTGGCATTTCAATGCTTCCCCTTTCCCCACCCCCACCCATACTTTGTATAGATATGGGTCTGAGGCATAGCCAAGAGGGAGACACTGGTAGCAGCCACAGACACATTGGTGGGCACAGGACGCGCTGAGCCGCCCCAATGCAACTTTATGTGGTGGCGCAGGTTGGACTTGCTGGAGAAGCGCTTGTCGCACTGCTGGCAGGAGAAGGGTTTCTCCTTGGTGTGGATGCGTCGGTGGATTATGAGCTGGGTGGACACACGGAAGGACTTTCTGCACTCCGGGCACTCATAGCGTTTGCTCTCCGTGTGGATGCGCTGGTGGTTCTTGAGGGCGTTCAGATTGTGAAACTCCTTTTGACAGGAGGTGCAGAAATAGGCCCCAGTCTTGTGGATATTCTTGTGGTTGAGGAGGGAGCTGGCGTGGCGGTAGGTACGGCCACACTGGTCACAGACGTGCGATTTGGCCCCCCCACCAATTACCGGTTTACCTGAAAATGTAAACGTTGAACTTGTATTAAACCAAACCTCCAGAAACCTTGGCTTTTCAATGTGTATTACAGTAGCACTTCCCCTTCCCCCACCTATAGAAATGGGCCTGAGCGCATACCCAGGAAACTGGAAGGCGCTGAGCCTCTCCAGTGCAACTTCATGTGGTGGTGTAGGTTGGACTTGCTGGAGAAGCGCTTGGTGCATTGCTGGCAGGAGAAGGGCTTCTCCTGGGTGTGAATGCGGCGGTGGACGATGAGTTGGCTAGGCGCACGGAAGGCCTTTCCACAGTCTAAGCACCGGTGGCGTTTGACCTCAGTGTGTATGCGCCGATGGGTCTTGAGAGCCATCAGGTTGGAGAACTCCTTCTGACAAGAGCTGCAGAAATAGGCGCCTGTCTTGTGGATGTTCTTGTGGTTCTGGAGGGATCCGGCATGGCGGTAACCACGGCCGCACTGGTCGCAGACATGCAACTTGGGTGGTCTCCCTGCGCCAATTGGTGGATGACCTGAAAATGTAAAATGTAGGACTTGTGTCATGCCATAATTCTGCTATTTCATTTGTATACACATTAATGCTGGCTTCACATGCTCGTGGGAAATGGGAAACTGGGAAGTCATAAGCCCGACATGATTGTGTCCAAGTGCTTTTGAAGTTGGAACAATTCTTCAACCAATAAGCTTGCTACCATTGCTAATAATAAAGTTAGCTAGCTTGCTTAACGTCGACAATATGGTCAGACTAGCTACATTATACATATTGATAAGGTTGTAATTGTCAAAAACAGATTTGTTGTCAAAGGTAAAAGGTCAGTGGTGAAACGTCACAACTCAGGTAACAAAAATGTCTCTGTTTCCCACTTGGACAGTCCTTCAAGGGAAATTTCCCACTGGGAACAAAGAGCTTCTGATAACTCCGATAGCATGTGAACGCTGCATTATGAACAGCTTCAGCAACGAAAAAAACCCCACATAAATTCTTCAACAATTAAAGGTGCATTCCGTAACATTTCCACATGCACATAGATCTTGATATGTATCGGTAGTAATAAATTAATACTATTAATTGAGACAAAAACAAAAAAGTGGCCTGGCCACCCTCAGTGTATACAAAATGCAGCGTCTTCTTGATTCAATATTGGTTCTAGTTTTCAGAAGTTGAAAGCCCAACAATAATGTCTCTACAAAATAATATTTTGGGCTTATAATAAGATGTCATATTCGTCAAAACCCGAGAGGGAGTCAAAAATATTACTGAAATGTTAAAGATTGCACCTTTAACAATACATTTTTAATTTTGGGCAATTCACCTGAGCCTTTTCAATATGTCAATCAAACCATTGGGCAAATCAAATGGGCCTTCCCTACACTGATGGTGTACTGAGCCTGGAGTCAAATGGTGAGGCTACGTGTTGTAAATGTCTACACTCTCCCACTGTACACTGCAGGTATATGGGTTTATTATTTCCACTAGCCAACAGTATTTAATATGGTCGTCTACATAGCTTTGTTACTGTACCTTGAATTTGGTAGAAGAAACTGATTCCTCAATTTGGGAACAAATGTATTGCTACAGTTAATTATATTCAACAAGGATGGATCTTTATTAAGCACAAACTTCTATCATGCAAATATAAAATACGAAATGTACATGAAAACAAAACAAATCAGGAATAGGTCAGAGTACATGTGTAGGATTAAGGTTGAGAGATTTGTATCTTCAATATCTAGGCTAGTTTCATCTTCATGGTGACAAATACACAAAAATTGGGTGACAGCCATATTGCAATGTTGATTCTACAGCCCTTAGGAGGACACTTTCCTCAAAAAACTATTTTCTTTGGTTTCTCCCAGTACTTGAGCGTTTCTTAAATCAACCCAGATAAAAACGTTTGATTTATTTATTTATTTTGAGCAGCCACTTGTTAGTTTAGCATGCCAATCCAAGAGTCCATAGGAACAACAACACACTTAACCACCATGCAGACACTCCATTCCAACGTGTAGTGACCATATCACTCTTGAACAACGTATTATAATAGAAATGCCATTGTGGTTGCTAGACTTTGGCATCAGCTCAACAGATTCCATATGGACACTGGTGTTAGCATGCTAAGCACTCTCAAACTTGTCTGGGTTGATTAAAAAAAGCTATGTGGAAATATTGGGTTGGTCTAAATATCAGCTAAGTGTAAAAACTAAAGAAAGGAGTTTTGGGAGGATATTCTTCTTCCAAGGATGAAAGAACGACAAACCCTTTTTGCTGGTTATAAAATGAAGGTATATTTTCACCAACCACATTGTAAACTCAATATCATTTGGTGATTTTTGTGTTGCATAAAACAAAAACATATTCTAGCATCAAGATAATGGAGTGCATTTGAACATTGTACCTTAAATATTACATATAGCTATGATCATATGATACTTTTGTAATTCATTAGTCCATTTTTTCATTGTTTGGACTAACATGAGTAAATGACTCAGTCATTTTCATAGGTCTAATCCTCTAGGGCTGTGTTTATACAGGCAGCCTTATTCAGATCTTTTTTTCACTAATTGCTCTTTTGACTAATTAGATCAGCTCTGAATAAGATCTGATGTGAAAAGACCTGATGGGAAAGATATCAACATTGGGCTGCCTGGGTGTATGATTTGAGGGCACCAGCCTTTCTAGAGGCAACAAGCATTATCAAACTTCATCCTCAGTCTGCATCATTTGCTTAAAGATAATCTGCAATTGTATACCCCCCTTCCTTACATATCCTCAAAAACGGAAATTATTTGGTCCTTCAACTAGACACATTTTCATTTGACCAATTCACTGAAGTGAAAATGTTCAAGGCCAAGTCTTTAACAAGGTTGAGTTAACCCAGGTTGATTGCACCCTCATCACAGGTTAAAAATGTCCTGTGTGAAAACATGTTGATCATTAAAAACACTTAACACTTTCAAAAGTACATTAAAAGTGTGGAGTTAAAGGACAATCGATTCACAACACTGTTCTTCACTTTTTTTCCCCAGCTATTTATTTTCAGTACTCAGCATTAGGGGTTATAATATGGACAGGTTTTGTTAAGAAATGAATTATCAAAACATAGTTTATAAAAGTGTATAGTAAGCAGTACATATATATATGTATGAAACAAAAAGTTAGAACGACAAATTATTCATTATAGTTGTTCAAACCAATCCTTTCTAAACTAGCCATAATGACGGTTGGAAGTGTCCACTTTTAACCAATTGTGGAGAAAAAGCAAGAGTTTAATTAAAATATTTAGTTGTCCTGTGGTCTAGTTGAATCACATTACTCCTAAATCACTTCACTGTCACTTTATATTTCACTTCCTAGCACCAGTGCTCCCTGTAAAAGGTGTTCACACAGAGCTTTGAATAGTCAAAACGCAATTAAATTAAATACTAATAAATACAAGGGTTACGATAAGGTGTAACAAAAACTTAAAAGAATGAATGCACAAACATTTCACAAAGTCATCCCTTTGAGTGTGAGCTTTTTGTGAAACAGAAGGAAGTCCAGTCTGACTTGAGGGGAGACGGTCACAACATCACTTGTAAAAGGCAAACATTTCAGAAATATTTCCTTAAATCTTTGTAATGCAATCAAAAAACACATTATACATGTTCCCTGTTTATTGTACAAGGGACAGATGTTTTCTTTTTTTTGAAGCATAACAAATTGAGACAACATGGAGGAGTACTGTCACTGTAACAAGTGTTCTTTGGGAGTCCTTCATACTTGACTCCATGTCAATTATACATACAGGATGAATAGTCAGGGGTAAGTGTAAGGAAAGGGGGTGGTTACAACACAGCTCCTAAACTGAGAGATCCTAAAACTAGCGTTTTCCGTAACAAGTGTTAATATAAATAAATGCATTCTACAATGATCTGTTTTATAAAAGTCGAACTGTAAATAATACAGTCAGAAGTACGATTACGATACAGGATAAAACCAAATGCCGGCATGGGCCTAACAATATACATTTTCTTTACTTTCTTTTTTTATAACCACAACTTATTGTCTATACATGTTAACTAGTTAGGCGCAGTGTTGAAAATATGGGTGCCCAGAAACATTTTTTAAATATTAGAGGAGGAATACACAAATGTGATGCCAGAAAGAAGCAACCGATAAAGAGCATTGCTGTCATCTGCAGAATAATAAGGTTTGAAGCTCATCTTCGTGCTGCAAGAAACACACAAGTTAGAAAACAATTAGAACCTCACAAGAGAGCAATACACCCTCAGGTCAGTTCTAGAATATAGAAATGTGACATCTCCAACCACTGCATTAATTAACTGTTAAAACTAAATTTTTACAATGTCGAAGTACATCTCAACTCTTTGCTCCAACATATTGCTCACTTCAGAGACACGGTTTGAACAATTTGTTACTGGTTAAGATGTTTTGTATAACATGACAAAGGCCGCATGCAAAGGCTTTATCCAAAATCAACAGATATGGAATGGGATGTCATGTGCAATGCATTCAAACTGCAAAGATGCCACAAAAAACCCTTAACATTGGTCAAATTCATCAATGTGGTTGACTTGGTGAACTTCACGCTACACTCTTGGCATGGCATTAGGATGTTCTTCCTATTGTGCCCTGTATGTTGTGACTTCTTTGACACTGGGCTTAACTGTCAATAAAACACTGAGAAATCTACAATCATCTACTGTGTAACATGCAACAGGAGGCTATGACAACAGTATATCATTAAGGTTTCTAAAGGGCCGAACAGAGAAGTCTAGCACACATCCTACACTGAGTGAGCAGTAATCCTTGTGTACCATTACAGGCTGATGGGTTGTTGTCCCCTAGCAAAGGCCATCGAGTGAATGCAAGCAAGCGTAGCCATGCTGGTTGGGATGAAGCAGATGGGGGAAGCTTTTGCAACCAGACTGTCTTAACCAGTGGAGATGTCATCCATGCCAAGTCAGTCCCCCCCCCCCCCCCTCCCTTATCTGAGGTTGCATGCAGGGCCTGTGAGTCTAGATCACATAACCTGCTCTGTGGAAATCTATAGATATAAACTTCACGCTCTACAACAAGAGGGAGATGGTGGTGAATGAGAAGGAACGGGACTAAGAGTTTTAGAACCTCTAGAACCTTGGCCTTTCAATGCATCCCACACTAGAACCACCCCTTCCCCCACTCCCACCCATACTTATAGAAATGGGCCTGAGGGCATACCCAGGAAGCTGGCAGCGCCCATGGCCATGGTGGGGGGCGCTGAGCTGCTCCAGTGCACCTTCTGGTGGTGGCGCAGGTTGGACTTGCTGGAGAAGCGCTTGTCGCACTGCTGGCAGGAAAAGGGCTTTTCCTTGGTGTGGATGCGCCTGTGGCAGATGAGCTGGGTGGACACACGGAAGGACTTTCCGCAGTCGGGGCACTGGAAACGTTTGGGCTCAGTGTGAATGCGCCGGTGGTTCTTGAGGGACATCAGGTTGGGAAACTCCTTCTGACAGGAGTTACAGAAGTAGGCACCTGTTTTGTGACTGTTTTTGTGGTTGAGGAGGGAGCTGGCATGGAGGTAGGCACGGCCACACTGGTTGCAGATGTGCGACTTGGTCCCCGTCGCCCCACGGCTCCTGCTGCCACTGGGGCCTTGGAAGGACAGGGAGTTCATTTTGGGTAGTCCATTGGGGTCCAGTCCTTGGGCCTGCAACAGCGTGAGATCCAGGCCGGAGTCCCAGCTAAGGCCTGAGCTCCCGCCCCCGGATGTGCCCCCAGATGCTCCCCCAGCCCTGGCCTGTGTCTGCTGGGGGGGCCTGGGGGCTTGGCCGTGGGAGATCTCCTGGTGGAGCCGGAAGCTGGCCTGGCTGGGGAAGCTGCGCTGGCAGGGGCCACAAGTTAGCTCCCTCTCCTTTAGGTGGACGCGACGGTGGCTGTTGAGCTGGGAGGAGACACGGAAAGCTTTGCCGCATTCTGGGCAGCGGTGACGTCGTATCTCTGAATGGATGCGCCGGTGGTTCTTGAGGGCCAGGAGGTTGGAATAGGTCTTGAGGCACACGGCACAGTGGTAAATGCCGACGGTGTGGGTGTTTTTGTGGTTGAGGAGGGAGCTGGCATGGGCGTAGGAGCGGCCACACTGGTCACATCTGTGGAGAGAGACAAGAGAACAAGAAATTAGTAACGGCTTGCGGTTCTTTTTCACTAATCTAACCAATCTAATTGGCTGGTTACCACTTTTCCATTAGATAAAACTAAAGAGGTCTGTAATTTTTATCATAGGTACACTTCAACTGTGAGAGACGGAATCTAAAACAAAAATCCAGAAAATCACATTGTATGATTTTTAAGTAATTAATTTGCATTTTATTGCATGACATAAGTATTTGATCACCTACCAACCAGTAAGAATTCCAGCTCTCACAGACCAGTTAGTTTTTCTTTAAGAAGCCCTCCTGTTCTCCACTCATTACCTGTATTAACTGCACCTGTTTGAACTCGTTACCTGTATAAAAGACACCTGTCCACACACTCAATCAAACAGACTCCAACCTCTCCACAATGGCCAAGACCAGAGAGCTGTGTAAGGACATCAGGGATAAAATTGTAGACCTGCACAAGGCTGGGATGGGCTACAGGACAATAGGCAAGCAGCTTGGTGAGAAGGCAACAACTGTTGGCGCAATTATTAGAAAATGGAAGAAGTTCAAGATGACGGTCAATCACCCTCGGTCTGGGGCTGCATGCAAGATCTCACCTCGTGGGGCATCAATGATCATGAGGAAGGTGAGGGATCAGCCCAGAACTACACGGCAGGACCTGGTCAATGACCTGAAGAGAGCTGGGACCACAGTCTAAAAGGAAACCATTAGTAACACACTACGCCGTCATGGATTAAAATCCTGCAGCGCAGGCAAGGTCCCCCTGCTCAAGCCAGCGCATTTCCCATCTGAAGTTTGCCAATGACCATCTGGATGATCCAGAGGAGGAATGGGGTCTGATGAGACAAAAATATAGCTTTTTGGTCTAAACTCCACTCGCCGTGTTTGGAGGAAGAAGAAGGTTGAGTACAAGCCCAAGAACACCATCCAAACCGTGAAGCATGGAGGTGGAAACATCATTCTTTGAGGATGCTTTTCTGCAAAGGGGACAGGACGACTGCACCGTATTGAGGGGAGGATGGATGGGGCCATGTATCGCGAGATCTTGGCCAACAACCTCCTTCCCTCAGTAAGAGCATTGAAGATGGGTCGTGGCTTTGTCTTCCAGCATGACAACGACCCGAAACACACAGCCAGGGCAACTAAGGAGTGGCTCCGTAAGAAGCATATCAAGGTCCTGGAGTGGCCTAGCCAGTCTCCAGACCTGAACCCAATAGAAAATCTTTGGAGGGAGCTGAAAGTCCGTATTGCCCAGCGACAGCCCCGAAACCTGAAGGATCTGGAGAAGGTCTGTATGGAGGAGTGGGCCAAAATCCCTGCTGCAGTGTGTGCAAACCTGGTCAAGACCTACAGGAAACGTATGATCTCTGTAATTGCAAACAAAGGTTTCTGTACCGAATATTAAGTTCTGCTTTTCTGATGTATCAAATACTTATGTCATGCAATAAAATGCAAATTAATTACTTAAAAATCATACAATGTGATTTTCTGGATTGTTGTTTTAGATTCCATCTCTCACAGTTGAAGTGTACCTATGATAAAAATTACAGACCTCTACATGCTTTGTAAGTAGGAAAACCTGCAAAATCGGCAGTGTATATATATATATATTCTCAAAATAATTGGTACAGGTATATGATCTGGAATCCGGCTTAAAGCTTTGGAGATGACTATAAGTGGTTTACCATGTCCTACAAGAAGAAATAGTCAATTTACACACATAATAAAAAGGGGAACACATTTTGGAGGAAACAGGGGGGGAAAATATGGACTGTCCTTAATCAAATAATTGAAAACTAATTTGAGTCTTGGAAGGTATGTGTGGCTCCCTGCACTGCACATTTGGATACAACAATTCCATATCACACTTTTTATAGTTATTAAAATGATTCTGACTTTCTTATTGGCCGCAACTGTGGTGAAATATGGTGGCTTAGTGCAGATTACCCCATCCCCCAAAAATAACTAAATTACAACAAAGCATGTGCAGTGCAGCAAGCTCCAAATACTTACTGTGGATCTAAGTCTAAGGATAGGCCTATGGCCTTTATCAATGTAGTATTCACTGTAAAATCAGCAAAAAACATACAATAACCTTTTCACTTCTATGGTCTTTTACCATTTTAACCAGCTTTTGTGCCTTGACTTTGTCAAACAAATAAGCCCACTAAACTAGGTTTACACTATCAACAACCAAAATGTACAATGTAGCTATAAAAGAGACAGGGAAGCACAAACAAAGGAGCACTACAATTCATAACAAGTACAAGGAACACACAAATCATAAATCGTACTTATTATACTACGTCAGCTACTTTGAATTGGTATCAATTAATGGCAGAATTTCTTAGGTAAAAGTAGAAAATAAAACATCCAACTGAACAATCAAATCAATTCTGATTCATAGTAGCCTAGGAAACGAATGTATATCTAACTGAAAGCAAACAGGGTGACTTATCTGGTCTCCACTAATCAATCTGTCCAAACTTCAGAAATATCCGAATTCCGGTGCACGTATGGTCCCAAGGAAGCCGGATTGGAGATCATATACCTGTAATAGACATGTAGAAACCTATGATCTTCACTATTTTCACTTCAAGAATCACAAACAACAGACGAAAACTCACGTGTACCGGCACTCTTCTCCCCCTGTCGTGCTTGCAGTGGCCATCCTCCTGCCCTCCTTGCCTACCTGGTTCTCCCCGCAGCGGTGCCTCGCCAGGCCTGACCTCCCCTGGAAGCTCTTCCCGCAGCTGGTGCAGCCAAAGCGTGTGTGGCCCTCCTCATGGACCTTCTGGTGATTGCGGAGGAACCTGGCTAGCCGGAACGCTTTCCCGCAGTGGTGGCAGATGTGCCTCTTCTTCTGCGTGTGGATGCGCATGTGGTTGCGAAGCGCCATGTAGTTGGAGTACGGCTTGTCGCAGTAGGTGCAGGTAAAGGTGCCCGTCTTGTGCGTGTGCTTGTGGTTCAGCAGGCTGCTGGCATGTTTGTAAGAGCAGCTGCAGATGTCACAGCTGTAGGGGCGTTCATCTGGCACAAGGTCAGCCCCATCGATACTGAGGCTTGAGCTATTGAGGGAGGCAGAGGACGAAGGGAGCTGCTGAGCAGGGCAGTCATGTGCAGCCAGCTCGTCAGCAGTAACGAAACCCTCGCAGCACCCATCACACTCGTAATCCATTTGAGCAACAGCTCCTGCAGCCCCCTTGCAGAGCTGTGCAGAGTGGTGGGTGGTCAGCTGCTTTTGGGTGCGGAATCCTTTGCCACATTCCTGGCAAGTGTGCTTCTTGAGGGCAAAATGAAGACGCAGATGGTTTTTCATGGCCAGGCGGTTGGGGTAAGTGGAGTTGCAGACATTGCAGTGATACTCGCCAATTTTGTGAAGATTCTTGTGGTTGGCCAAGCTGCCTGCATGACGATAGCTCCGTCCGCACTCATCACAAGCGAAGGGTCGTCGTCCCCCTTCTTGTAGATCAAAATTCTGAGCCCTTGAAGTACCCGCCTCTGAGTAGGGTTGCTTGAAGCCTTGTTGTTGCTGTCCATACTTGACTCCCCCCATGCCAGGGTTCTGGGATTTGGACGATTCTCCTCTCATGGCCTGCATGCCAGAGGGTCCTCCTTGATACCTTCCATTGCCTAGTTTCGCGAGCTGGGCGTGAGCCTTTGCTCTGTGTTCTTCATGGAGCCGAAGGTGGTTTTCCAGCTGCTTCTGGATCTTGAAGGCCTTCCCACACTCCTCACACTTGTGCCTGCAAAAGAAAGTGAGGACCAAATTAAAGATGGGTGAGGAACTGGTAAATACTACTTTTCCCTATTCCACGATCTGCCAGCCACTCAACTCGCTCCTAACATCATGAGTGGACAGCCAACTGGCTGAATGGGCACTAGCTACGTTTAGTAATGATAAAAGCACATTTGGGGAAGGTTATTTACCATTCAAGTAAAGCCATCGTTTCGGAATCGGGTGCCACTTGGGGACCGCTTCTCCCTGTGCCAGCGGCAGCCTTGCTGTAGCAAGCCAATAAAGGGAAATCACCAGTCAGAAATACATTTTACGTTTAGAATGGATTCAAAGATGTCATGGCCTGGCCATTTCTTGGGTTCCTCAGCATTGCTTAAGGGGTGTTTTGTTTTTAATTAGCTTTACAGACTGGACTGTAGCACAGAGTAGACTCTTACATTCAATGTCGTTCGTTTTTCAGCTGTGCCGCTGTACAGTGAGGGAAAAGCGGTGTGTTTTCTTCAACAATTCGAATGCCTGTTTTTAACAATGCGGAGGCCCTCGATAGGCGAATTGATTATTCTTACTCATATCTAGTATTATTACAATGAAAAATACTGCATCTCATTATTTCAGAGAAAATAAAGACCAATCCATGAAGGTACTATACAATCCAGATTTTAGTGTAAAATGTCCCATTGATGTCAATTGGAAATTTGGACCAAATTCAAGCTATGCACACAGATCTTATGTTATTAATATGCCCACAAAGACAAAAAGAGTCTCAATGAGGAAACGCATCAAACAAAAGCTTACCTTTTTAAGTCAAAGTGGGTCCTCTGGTGGTTCTTGAGGGCCAGCAGGTTGTAGTAGCGCTTCTGACAGACAAGGCATCTGAAGACTCCGGTCTTGTGAGATTTCTTGTGGTTGAGCAGGGAGCAAGGGTGCCTGTAGCCCCTTCCACACTGGTCACATTTGTGGGGTCGATCCTCCGAATCTGGCATCTGTTGTCTACGGTCCTGTCCTCCCATATCACGACTGCCTCCAGGTCCTCCAACTCCGCCGCCACTAACTCCATCTCCGCCAGTCATCCCTTTAGCTCCATTCAATCCTTCTTTGCTCAGCACTCCTCCTCTTCCCTTTCCAGGACACAGGTGAGTGATCAAGTGATGGCGATCAGCAAAGAACATGCCACAGTCAACGCAAATGTGATTCCTCCCATCACCATCCATTTTGCCATTAGTATTGGTGGGATCTGCCACCATGCCCTGCGCTGCTGCATCTGACCTTTGTGGCCCATGAATCAGTTGGTGGTTTAACAGGTCTTGCTTTCTGGAGAAGCTCTGGCCACAGGTGCTGCAGATAATCCTCCAGTCTGCCTCACCGTTAGGAGAAAGTGCTGAAGTCCCAGGCCCTGTAGGATTGTTAGCATGGCTGCGCAGATGGCTCCTCAGGGCCCTGAGGCTGGCATAATGGTTCCCACACACCGAGCACTGGTACACCTCGCCATCATCTTCATCTTCTTTATTCATCCTTTTTCCACTTCCCTGGGCATGGGACTGAGAACCATACTGAGAGCGCTGTCCATTGCTCTCTTTCACATTTCCTCCACCTGAAGGGAGAGCAGCGCCTCCAGGGCTGTTGTAGCCACTCATGTTTCCCATGAATCCATTGGACATCCCCTGGTTCTGTCGCCGTTGGGGGCACATGTGAGACTTGATGCCAGAGATGTCCCCATACATTTCTCCACAGTCAGTGCACATGTGTCTATCAGCCTGGCGGTGGTTCTGTGGAAGAGGGGAGTGCCCAGAGTTGCTCTGGGCAAGGGAGCCATCAAATCGATCATGGAACTCCAGTGAATCCAAACCACTGCTGTGGCCACCATCAGGTACAAAGTGAGCAGCATCACCAAGATTTCCAGGGAGGGAGATAGGGGTGGTTGCGCCACTCCCCTCCTGCACATAACTATTCTGAGAGTCAAGTGTAAGGGGTTCCGAGGAGAGCCAGTCGCCTTCAGTGTTGAGGGATGATTGGTTGGATGTTCTTCCCTTGTGGCTGCGGAGGTGGCTATGCAAGGCTGCCAAGTGCGGATACTGCTTGCAGCAGATGGTGCACTGGTAGAGGCCAGTCTGGTGGGAGCGCTTGTGGTTGACCAGGCTTCCAGCATGGCGGTAGCTTTTCCCACAATCCTGACACTTGAAACGACGTTCGCCATCATCAGAAGAAGACTGCACTCTCTCTCCAGATGGTGATGGGTTAGAGTTAGAGCCAATCCCATCAGTGTTCAGGATACCATCCTGACCATGGGAGCCTGGGTGGGGGTCATGGGTCAGGTAATGAACTTTGAGGCTCTCCAGATCAGGATGCCCAGCCCCACAGTATGCACAAGTGTAAATGGGGTTATTGACAGGAGGTCCAAGCATTGGGTCAAAGGGGCCACGTTTATCATTTGGCAAAGGAGGAAGCGGCAGAGGGTCACCGAGGGCAGGTGTGTACGCTGGGGAACGGACAGCGCTGAGATTGTGCGGCATTATCCCAGGGAAACTACGGGCAAGACCCAGTGAAGAGGAGGCTGCATTATGCAACAGGATGTGCTCCTGGAAGTCACTCTTGTTGGGCAAGGCTACCTGGCACAGGTGGCAGAAGCAATTAGCCGCATCATCGGTTTGGGGCGCAGACAAACGCTGATCAGTCACAGAATCATGTATGTTGTTGTTAACCATCGATGCTCCAGGAGTCTTAAACTTTGAGTGGGTTCGCTCATGGCCGCTGAGAGCAGCCAGGTTGTTGAACTGCTTGTAACAGACGGTGCACTTGAACGCCCCCTCCTGGTGACATTTCTTGTGATTAACCAGGCTGCCATGGTGGCGGTAGGTCCTATCACACTGATCACATTTGAATGGACGATCCCAGGCATCATCAGTTACAGGTGACTTCTTATGATCATCTGGGTCATGTGACATCACGCCATGAACCATTCCACTGTTGTTCAGGTGACTACGGGCAAAGCCATCGGACAGATCCTGTGCAAGACCATAGTTCCTCTCATCATGGCCGTCTTCAGCGCCTTCGTCACCGCCGTCTTCCTCTGCCTGGGCACTGCTTGGGGATAGGGTGTGGATACGGAGGTGGTTCTTCAGAGCCACAGCATTGGGAAGGGTTCTGGTGCAGACTGGGCACTGAAAGGAACCCACTTCATGGGATTTCTTATGGTTGGCCAGGCTGCCAGCATGCTTATAGATGCGGCCACATTGCTCACACTCAAACCTGCCATTCTCTTCTTGCTGGTAGTGAGCCTTCATGTGTTCTAACAGACTAGGGGTACTGGGGCAAACCATATCACACTCTTTACAGGGGAAACCCTTGACACGGCTCATATCATGCATTGCCATAGTAGGCTTATACATTTAGGGAAGGGGAAATCAAGTCTCAAGATAATCAACAAAGTAGACAAGGGGAAAAGAGAGTCTTAGCTCTTGGATTCTGTGGTGTCAGCCATTTTCTTCCCAGAGCTGAAGATAGTCTTCTCTTTCAGCCATTCAATGCCACCCCGTCAGGGCAGCACCGGAAGGATCTGGACACGGAGCAGGCACTGGAAGAGCACTGTTGAAATAGAAAAAACATAAAAAGGGGGCATTTCATGATTTAGAAGAGACTCAAACCAGAAAAGATTTAACATACTGAATGTCTAGCCATTTGCACTGTCAATGTGGAAAGGTTATCTATTCTATACTGCAAGAAATATGACACAGAACACCTTCATTAGAATAATAAAGGTCTGGCAAAAGCCAACAAAGGCTACAAATCCACCACAGACGACATTCAGACCAATAAAATGTTTCCAACATTGAAACTCTGCCTATCAAGGGTGCTGGGCAGGGTAAATCAAGAACACCTACAGAGCAGTGACACACACAGGATTGTCTACCGTTCGCCAGCCGAGTGTAATTTGCACTTCTGAGCAGTGTCGGCAGTCAATCTCTTTGTGTTCACACAGCAAAGTCGTCAGCCACAAAGCATTGTTAAAATACTACAAACCAGAAGGTGGCAGTAGCATTGTTTGGCAACGCATGTCCGTGTGTTTTGCTTAGTTTATGGTCTAGATTCCAACGTTAGCTAGCTAGCTGCGCTAATGTTCCTATTTTGTAGAATGCCCTTGTTGGTCCTAGCCAGATGGCCACAGTTGGTTAACTACCTAAAATGATGACGAAGAAAACATTTAATTCACTCTTCATAATCCCATACGGCCAGTGCCAGCACATAGCCAAATGTTTAGCATATTCACTAGCTAGCACAAAATATCTAGCTAGGGATGGACACTGCATTAACTTGGCAGCTAACACAGGCAGTTTTTTCATGGAAACGAATCCATTGTGATTTAATTATAATATCAATACTAGCTATAGTGGTTAGCTAGCTTGGAGGAAGTATTTAGCGTTGTGTGCATTGTGTCTGTGCACTTAGCTAGCTACCATCCCATAGCCTACAAGTGTGACTGGCTCATTCGTGGATCCGTCACTCCTTTTGGCTCCCCCACATGGGGGTTCGTGCTCTCTGATTGGCTCAAAGTCAAGTTGTTGGCAACTGATGAGCATTGCGATTCTACAAGTAGAAATGGCAGGTCCGTCGCTACCGGGTCAGCACGCAGCTGGTACCGCTTTTGTTCGAGCAAGAGAAGGAACGGCCTCCCACTGTGATAAGTACCTATCGGCAGTCTGATTCTCTGCGTTTCATTATTAATCGTCCTGAAATGTAGGCTCTGTCCAGAAACAACGGCCCAATCCCAAATCGACCCCTATACCACACAGATTATACACTAAGATCTGATTGGATTTGAAAGGTGTAAGTAACATGGCAATAGCTCCACCTTGCCCTCTGATAGGCCAGGGGGAAGTTTCCCCATATTGCTTATACAAATCAAATCCTCTCAGCTCTCCACAAGTGCATTGGGCATAGGGGTCAATTTGGGATTGGGCCAACCCCTAGCCCCATATCCCCTAGACCAGGGATACTCAACTCTTACCATATGACAGGGTTTCCCAAACTTGGTCCCAAGTGGTGCACGTTTTGGTTTTTGCCCCAGCACTACACAGCTGATTCAAATAATCAACTCATCATCTAGCTTTGATAATTTAAAATCAGCTGTGTAGTGTTAGGGCAAAAACCAAAACGTGCATCCCTTGGGTTCCCTAGGCCAGAGTTTGGGAAACGCTGCGCTACGAGGTCCGGAGGTTGCTGGTTCTTTTCTACCTGATAATTGCACACACCTGGTGTCCCAGGTCTAAGTCAGTCCCTGATTAGAGGGAAACAATGACATAATGCAGTGGAACTGGCTTTTATAAATTATTCCCCTCTAATCAGGGACTGATTTAGACCTGGTACACCAGGTTGGTGCAATTAATTATCAGGTCAAACAGAAAACCAGCAGTATTCCTGACCTCGTAGGGTAAAATTGTAATATCGCTGCCCTAGACACTTTTTGAAATCCACCAGGAAGTCAATCACTATTCTTAAAGCCCTAATGCAGACTTTGGAATAGTATTTTGAAATCATCACTGTATGTCTCGAAATGCTCAGTCTGATTGTGTAGGCGTTGGGAAACAAATTGGAAGATATTGACATACCCTGATTGGCTTATAGGATGGTCTAGAGCCCACCCACTTCACAGATGAACAGTCATAGGTCTATTATACTCAGATCACATTGTAACATCCTTTCAGTTACTGGCCCAACGCTCTTAATTGCTAGGCTACCTGCTGCCCAGAAACAACTTGGGCCAAAAGTTTCTGAACAGGCTGAAATTCCTGGAATTTTTTCCCAAACAGCTCTTACATATCATAATTTTCACAATTTCCATGTGTTATTTTTACCTGTGTGGAAATAATATTTAAAAAAGGAAAATCTTATGTGTAACTGCACTGCCCTTTTAACATTCAACCATTATGCATTATTGTGGGGTGAAAACATGATATCAGTTCACAACCTCTTTGGAAAACATAAAGGTTACTTTGGAGTCATTAGAATAGTGAATATGCATTGACAAACTTAAATATGTTGTCTTACATTTATAGAATTCATTGCTTTATGTTTTGCCAATGTTTGATGAATAGGACATTGTTCAAATTAGCCTATATTTTATTTGTACATATGATTTATCATCTACTGACAATTGTCAGTGCGGATTGTGAGAACTTTTAGACGTGGCTTTTGTTTTATTAGATCTGGCATGTTTGCAGCTTGTGCTCACTTCCGCCAGGCTGACCAATGTGTCCTGTGCCAAGTTCTTCCTGCAGAATCGTGGAACCACACCTATAGTTTGCACATTAACAGCACACATAGCAAAACAGACAATACACAAAGGTTTGTGGAATGCTTCATTTCATAATTTCACATTGTGAAAAATAATCAATTTAAGTTCTGTGATAATTCATGCAAATTCTAATTAAGAAATGGGTCCAATGCCACATTGGTCATTTTCAGTTACATAGGCCTAGTAGTCTGTAATAGTCAAATATAGGCTCAATTCACTATTAAAGAGCTTTCCACCATTTTTTACCCAACCTATATTTGAATAAGGCATCCTATTCCAGAATGGCTTATTGACATAGGCCTACCAGTATTTGTTCCTGAAGTCAAGTGACCTCAACAGAATACACTTTTTACCCTGCATGGGTTAGTCTCACAGCTCTCGTGTGAAAGTCCCATAACCTCCGGGAAGGTACCCTGACCCAGGGCTCTGACGCCAGGCCATCTGGATGTGCTAGGCTCATCAAGTCAATCAAGATCTGTGTAGCGAAATACCAGATGGGTCTAACATCACAAAAAGCACTTCCGCTACAGTTTGGGTTGTCTGTCATCTGTTGTTTACACTTTGAAGCATATATATTCATTGCTGAGCTGAGGTGGGCCTAGTTTGGAATAAAGGCATATGTCTATTCAAATGATAGCGGGGTGGGAAGGATCTAGATTTATATAGAAACATCCAGTGAGCAAGGTTATTTGACACTTTAAACAAATGGGAATTAAAACCATTTATATTAGAAAACGTTGTTTGCTTAACTTATGGGATGCAAAAATTATAATCACAATGGGCCAATGGTGTAAAAAGTGAAATAATTTATAAATCCCTGGCCTGCAGAAGCCAGGGTTTCTGGTTCTCTATGGGGAGAAAAATGTAATGTGAATGTTCACACTTCAGCTCGATTGGCCATTATCAAACGTGGTGTGAATGATGCAAGTAGCAGAATTATTCAAACGTAAGAGACAGAAATGGGGAGGTGAAGCATAAACAACTTTGGAATAATTTTAACTTCACTGACTAATTCCCATTTGCAACTAAATTCAAACAGAAAAATATTTACACTGTCTAAGAACTGTCAAATAAAATTAAGTAACGAGTGTGCACATAAGTAGTTAGCCTAGCAAACTAGCTAAACTAATTTGATAGCAGAAGAAAGAAAATTAATCAAACTATTTTAAACAGTGAAATCACAACCGCCTTTAACGCGCAAAAATGGTTTGCAGGATTCTGTAAACAGCCAAGGAACCACATAAAGGAAACATTTTTGTATTTAATATGAATATAAATATTACAGATAGTTGTACATACACCGTTTACCTGGGCTAATATCTTTACAATTACTTTCCGTGTGACTCGATGTTTACACGTGCATTGTTTTGATTGAGAGCTCGGACGACTTGGGGCTGGATCTACACTTCAACAAATCATATTTTTCTTTCATAATAGGGAGGCCCAAGAAACTGTAATTCGAAATAATTGAAATAAAGTATAATCTGACTGTAGTGGGCGGCGATTCTAACGCGCTTCCTGACCTTGCCTTTTCCACTGAGTTCACACAGCGTAAATTTGTCAGGACAAAAGCAGAGCATCTTTAACGCCGATCCACGAGACATTCCGTGCTCTTTTCCATCGGACGACTCCCCAAATTAGGCAACGTCAAGGCCGGAGGACCGAGAAAACATAAACTATAAGGAATTTTGCTCATAAATGCATAGTTAACTGAAACATCGAATTACCAAATGTTGAAATATAACGTAAATTCGCGTTAACCAAAAATATAACAACGACTCAATTTCCATAAAAAATTGCTTTCTAAGAAGCTACTTGCAACTAGCTAGTACACTAGCCGCATTTTAGCTAGCTGTGCAAACATTAGCCTGTTAGCTAGGTCAAGTCGTGAAAATACATGACTTCGGATCATATAACTGCATTTTCGGTTATTTTAATACAGTGTAGTTAAATGTTTGAGACATTACTTCACCTTAAGGTGCAATTAAACTGGCCAACTAACAAACTAATGTAATAATCTGCACCGAGCCGACAAACTAGCTAGCGCGGCCGCCTAGCTAACTACCCCCCACGATGCAAAAAAATACAAGGAAAACG